ATGTTACAATGTCAGATTAAACAAGGGAAGAGTTTAAATTAATGAGTTAAACTGAGGTAAAATGAGGTTCTGTCAGCTTCCGCAATGAGCTGACGTCAACTCATCATGGATTTCATTATACAGCTCCAAGCACAACTGGTTCTCCCAAAACAGTCTACTTGACTAGTCTTACAGGCATCTAATGTAGCATACAAATAACCACAAGGTACAGGTTTACTATGCAGTCGTTTGGCGACAGCAAATGTTAGCTTTTGTATTTCCTTACAGCAAAGGTTTTCCACTTCAGACAGCAATTTAAGACATTTTCCACACTTACAACTATAAACATATGGGGCAGATATAAAAAAAATGTACATATAGATTGTGATTGAAAGACTAAATCGACCAAAATCCAATGTCCGACAATAAGCAGTTAATGGGCATTATATTAACCAACCAGAGATCTCTTGCTCTCAAATGCTGGGTGTGCTGCCCATTGGCAGGCTTCCGGATGTTCGGCCAATCAGATGAAAGTGGGCTTTTAAGGCGGTCTCTTAAGGAGGCCTAAGCTAACATTGCCTGTTTCAGTAAGAGACTCATCTCAGGGGCTTCATAACAGGCAGTCTGAGGTAAATAAGGGCTGTATTTAAACTGTGAATCATGCAAAACTACTCTAGTGGAGTCTCAGAATAGAGCTGTTAATGAACATAATAGGTTCACTTTCTTTCTGCTTAATAAAGATAAGTGTTCGTCCATATCCACACTTTACAACAACAACAACAAAAAACCTACACTTTAAGGAAAAATATTAATTTGCTTGTAGTTTAAAAATCATATCCACTTTCTGCATACAGCAGCAGCAACTTTGTGCCGCAAATAACCTGCTGATGAATGAACATCAACAAACCACCATAAGCCAAGACAACCTTAGCTCACCCCATATGCTACAGTTCAACATGGTCCAAGTTAAAAGGTAAAAGAATCAAGGACGCCTCTCATCTGAATAAGACAAGGTTAAGTTAGAGGTGACACACTTAAGTGCAACACAGAGAGACTTCATAGGGAGTCTTGGATTACAAAACTGCCTGTTCTCTCTGCTGTGATTTCATAAGAGGCTTTGAGAGATATATCACTGTGAGGTTGTGTGTTCATGTGTGTGTGTGTTGTGCTGTTACTGATCTTCAGCGCTGATCCAGAAGTCTGAGGGCAACAACACTTGTCATTAAGGCATGTCATTCAGCACAGTCAAGAATCCTGTTTGTAAACAAAGCCATGGCAACCGTGGGACTCACACTCTCTCTCTCACGCTCTCTCTCACAAGTTTGCACTCCTACACGCAAGACTGACACGCGCACACACACACACAAACACACACTCACACACACATAGAGCACCAAGCTTATTCTAAACTAATCTCCCATCTTGTCATCTGCCTGGATATGACCCAGAAATACAGTCACTGGAACAAATAGGCCACTGTCATATTAATCTCCACCTCTGTAAATTGATGGAAATATGATTTGGTGCGTTCACAGTAAGCCATGTCTCTCCACTTCCCCCTTTTCTCTCTCTATGTGTCCCTGTGTCTCCCTGTCTATCCCTCACAACGATAACTTGACCTCCCCTTAACCGAATCCCCTGTCTTTCTTCTTTTTCACAGCAAACAATGAGTAAAATATAATGCAACGTAAAGAAAAAATATCTGGGACCCTGTAATTGCATGCTCAATTCAAAAAGACATAAACAGGTGAGGAAAAAGCAAAGCAGTGAGGAAAAAGGAGTATTCACATGCAGATATTCTCAGTGAAAAGCTTTGAATGGCAGAGTCTGACTAAAATTACAGAGATTCTGTAATTGCAGCTTCAGATAAAGCACAGCACTTGGCAGGTAGAGTAGGAGTCTGCAGAGATGTGCCCTCATTTCTACACCGACACAGCGCTCGTGTGTGTGTGTGTGAGTCCTTTAAAGCATTCATCCGTGCTTGCAAGTGTGTGTGTATGTGTGTGTGTGTGTGTGTGTGTGTGTGTGTGTGTATGTGTGCACTTGTTTGTTTGTGCGTCAGACATGCCCTGTGTGTGTTTTTGGAAGTGTGTGTGTGCGTGTGTGCGTGCGTGCATGTGTGTGTGTGAGAGAGAAAGAGAGAGGGGGGAATAGGTTTGAAGGGTTAATTAGCGTGCTGTCTTAAACGGTGTGCAGTGACAGGAAGACAAGACAGGCTGTCCTTGCCAAAATCACCTCTACACATGCTGCTCCACATGTGCAGGTGACACACACACATACACACACACACACACACACACGCCAGCACACACACATGCACCAGCACATATGTGCATATAGCACAATATGAGGATATGAGGACGTACACTCATTCTCCCCCACTCAGCAGCTCAGTGCCCATCTGAAGCTCCGACACACATGAACACATTTTCACACACATGCGCGTGCACACACACACAGCACACACACCACACACACCACACACACACACACACACACACACACACACACACACACACACACACACACACACCTAAGTCAGTAAAGCCAAATCAGTTTTCCCGTTGCTACAGCAACAGCATACTTTTATGTCAACTGCAACCTAGTTACTATGGAGATATGTATACAAGAGAAACTCTGTGCCGTTGTAGTCATGGGCCAGATGACAGCATAGCGTGAGGGCGTGTGCGCACACACACACACACACGCATGCACGCACACACACGTGCACACACACACACACACACACACACACACACACACACACACACACACACAGAGCTCACTCAAAAGGAAGAGCTCAGGTTCACACGCTGGTCAAGGAAAGCATAAAGAGCTTCCATATCCTCTAGTACAATCTCAATCAGCTAAACACGCAAAGCTAGCATTGATCCTCGCTGTTTGTCCCCCACCCCCAACACCCTCGGGCAAGATGAAATCTAAAGTCTGCTGGCATCTGTGTTATTAAATCCTCCAGTATTAATTTAGCACTAATTGAGTGAGGGATTCATTCCCCGTTTACCCCGAGTCTTTAATGGAGTAAAATCTGGATGGGAAAGCCAGTATAAAAGACTGTATCAAGACTTAAATCAAAAGCGAAATGCTGTTCCCACTGGGGAAGCACAGAACGTCAGAGTGAAAGAGAACTATGAAAGCAGAGATCATCAACTATTGATAAGGCCGAATCTGGTACAGCTGTAGACAAAATACAGAATATATTTGACTTCAAGTTGGATATGCCTGCAAACTGCTGATAACTGTCTGGCTGTGAAATAAGTTATAACCACACATGATAGAGTGAATAATGGGCCTGTATTTACCACGTGGCTGCAGAATTATTTTACCTTTAACAACTAAGAATATGATTAATGAGGACTGATTTTAAAAAATCCCTGCATTAGTTTGAATTAGGGCTGGGAATCGTTTGAAATTTCGTTTGAAAGCCGAGGCAGGATTGTCTGTTAGCTAATGTTATTTCACATACTGCTTTGTAATCTCCACTTTGGCTGCTAAATTAAAGTTGGCTAATGTTAACTAGCTTCACATACTGATAGAGCGAGCTGCTGCTCGGGTTCCTGGACATGTTGTGAGACGTGTTTAAAAGTATAACTGAGAGATTTAAACCATAGTTTTCAGTCTCGGATTGTTAATCTCTGGGCACAGATTATGAATTGGAGAGCACTGTTTATACACGGCGTGCACGGATTTGTAAACCGAGAGTACAGATTTACACGGCTGACCTGGGGGGTTCCACACTAGAATGACATGCACAGTTAGCTAATGCTTGATGGTTTCTCTACAGACAGACGCACCACTCTGTTCTTTTTTTGATGGCAAAAAAGACAAGAATCTGCTTGCTATCTCTGCTTTCTTCTCATGGCAGTCCATCTTTGAGCATATGGGACAACTGGGTGAAGGGAGGTTGCAGTGACAGGAAAATTCATGTTTTCAGGCGGTCACTGACAGGTTCTTGATTTAACCCTGCTGATACCTACGTGATATTTTTTTTAATGCCTAAGTTTATGGAAAATAAATACATTCTTTCTACATCCCCCTTTTTTCATTTTACAAAATAAACCAGAATTCTAAATGCATCACTGTTTAATGTTGTCTGAACAAGGGCAGTCATTCAAGAAGTTTATCTAAATAAACACACTAATGGTCAAAAGCTTTAGAACAAACACATTTTTCTAGTTTCTTGTTTTCCAGGTGACCAAACACTGAAAAATCAAGTACAGTTCATAGAAAACAGGCCTGTTTCATGGATTAAGAAACTGTTTCACTTACAGCTTTCCTCCAGCAGTGGAAGTAAATGAAGCTTTGAAAGTTAATGCAAACAATTCCTACAGGTGCCCTAACTTTTATTGACTTATAAACCCTCTGTCTGTACAAAGGCAGTGGTGGAACAAACTCTGTTAACATACAGTACTAAAGGTATGTTGCAATCAGAACAGTGAGAAAAAGGAAGACAGACTGATTGGTCAGGGCTTCATCCTTCAGCAAGATAACAACATTAGAACAGGAGAACTAGACGGTGGCTTCACATGATGAAGACCAGCAGAGTCTCCAGACTGAAACCTCATGGAGCTGGTTTGGGATGGACTGGACAGACGGTGAAAGCAAAGCAGCCTACAACTGCAACACTGTGGGAACTGCAAGAGTGTTGGGACGAACTTTCTGAACAATATTTGATTTGCACTGTAGAAAAAACGCCACAAGTGATTTCGGCTGCTGCATGAGTTAAAAGTTTGGATTAAATTTAGTTCAACAAGATGAGTCCGTGATTCTTTTATGTAAATTTCAATAACTGCTGGAAAAACTTGTTCTAAGACGTTTGACTGGTAGTGCATAGGTCAGAAAATATGTAAATGAACCGAAGAAAAGCGCTTTTGATGTCAGATTTCGCTACTATGGACACATGTCGTTTGTTACTAAAGTATTGAGGTTTGATACACAGCCCTTGGCTTGAAAGGAAGACAATAAGATCCAACATTTCTCTACACAACTGCTGATGTCTTTACCTGGCTCCGGTCTTTATCCACCTTCTTGAAGCACTTGTTGAGCGACAGATTGTGGCGTACTGAGTTCTTCCAGCCTGTGGGGGCGTTTGCAAAGTATGGGAAGTGCTCCAGGATCCAGCCGTAGATATCCTTAACAGGCAGCCGTTTGTTTGGCGCATCCTCAATGGCCATGAAGATCAGGCAGCTGAAGGAATACGGCGGTTTTCGGTTAGCCCCTGCCGCCAAGTCGTAACCCGAGTGTGCGTCGCCGAGCAGGGGGTCGTCCGGGGAGGGAGACGAGGAGGAGGGCGAGCGGGGGTGCTGACCGTCGGGGTCCTGCAGAGGGGAGACGCTACGCAGCCCCGAGTGGCTGAAGCTGTTGAGGAGGTCCGTGCTCTCGTGGAGCCAGGAGAGGCTGGTGAGCTCCTCGTCCTCGGCCTTGGAGAAGGAGGCGGACAGGGACAGGGAGAGGTCAGCCGCCTCGGCCTCAGATGCTGCCGTGGCGGCGTCCCCCTGCCGGTACGGCGGGCTCATGCCCTGCGAGGCACTGGCTCCACTACTGGGGCTCTGGGCCTTCTTACTGGGGGGCATGGTGGGTCCCATCCAGCCCAGGGCTCACTCCTAGAGAGGGAGGCAGCAGAGACAGGACAGAGGGGAGGCCAAAGAGAGGCAGAGGAGGAGAAGGGTAGAGAGGAGAAGGGAAAGAGAGAAAAGAAACAAGGTCAGCTTGTGAAATCCACTTGGCTTCTCACATAAAGCCTTCATTTTTGTTAAAGGCCAAAGGGAGGCACCACATTCCAAATTAGGCTGCGTTAGATCTGAGGGGAAAAGTATACATCATCATTTCTCTCCGGGGCTTTCTGTCCAGTTCTGACTGGGATAGCAAATTTAGTGCTTCATTGGTTGTGGAAATCTTGCCTTGTACAACTACCCTCTAATTACCAGCGTACCAGCAAAGTATTGACATTACACGGGGGTTGCTGTCATAACATATGAATGCTGCTAAAGGTCTAATAGTCGCGGGGTCACAGAAGTGATTCTGGTGCTTTAACATCTCGACAGCAGGAGAAAATTTAATTGTCAAGGTTGGAGCCGTAAATGAGTGCAAAATAAACTTAAACTGCTGGGCTTAGTTCCACAGCAGGATACCTGTGACCAGAGATGATCATGATCAGGAGATGTGCCAAGAAAGGAAAGAAACAAATTAAGAGTGTGAGTTCAAATCCATCCCTAGTCTAATCAGACCATTATTCTCCTAACATAAGAGCAATGCTGTGCTCGTTAGATGCAGGCAGAGTGTGGTAATTGAAGGGGAACGGCCCTGAGTATCACACCACAATCAGAAGGCTCACAACCAGGCCTTTGATTGTCCTCTAGCACAGACAGCTGTGGGAAGGACCCAGGCAGCAGCTACAGCAAAATGTAATCGGCTCCACTCGTCCTGTGAACATGTTTCAGAGTCTGGACACACACACACACACACACACACACACACCCCCTCTGTGGGATGCACCCGTGCTCGCACAGACACACGGACACACANAGGCAGCAGCTACAGCAAAATGTAATCGGCTCCACTCGTCCTGTGAACATGTTTCAGAGTCTGGACACACACACACACACACACACACACACCCTCCCTCTGTGGGATGCACACGTGCTCGCACAGACACACGGACACAGACGCATGCAAATGAAGGCGCGAACCTAAATTTGCATGCACACACAAATTCTTGTAAAAAAAAAAAAAAAAAAAAAGAGCACAGATGCACAAACATAAACAGACAGGAGTACAAAAAGCTTGCAAAACTGAAAGGATGCACACACATACAAATATGGATGAATACACACACACACACACACACACACACACACACACACACACACACACACACACACACACACACACACACACACCGGAGAGCAGCACCATTAGGACATGAATTAAGTCCAGATATGTTCTGTCTGGCCCCCGTGTGGTGCGATCGCTCTCTAATCCAAGGTGATCATCTGCCGATCTGTCCCCTCACTCTGCGTGATTGACTGACAGCTGTCACCCATGGCAACCCGCTGTGCCGTGACAACTGTCAGTTCGCTACAGCTCTGGCCGCCGTGTCACCATGGCAACAGAGCAAAACAACTCAGATCCTCTCTCGTCCTGATGCTTTATTCTTTTTTTTTCTCTTTCTCTCTCTCTCTCTCCTCTGTGTCTGTCGCTCTTCCACCTATCTCCTCTTTTTTTTCACTTTTCTACCAGCGTAGATAAACTCTGCTTAACAGTGTTGATAGGCTGTAGTGGAAGGACTGGGCTAAATATAGAATTGTGATGTATAGCTGCCGCGCTGTTGCTCCCGCATATAGTCGGCCAGCCTATAGTCACCCCGTTGCTCCATCCGACTCTCTCCGCGGCGCAGGGAAACGCTCGGCGGAGCTGAATGTCTTTGATCTCCTCTCCACTTCTTCTCTCCTCTCTTTTCACTCCTCACACTTCCTGACAGCACGTGTGCTCATTCAACAAGCTGTACCTGTCTGAGGTACGGCGTTGTTGCACCAATATTGACATTGAGCATAATGAATTCAAATTGCCCCGGCGACGATAACGCTGTAGCTGAAAATAGTGAACGCACAATCAAAGAGATGGGCGAGGTGGAAAGGGTGTTTGACAGGCTTTTCAAGGTGTCTGTGTCTGCGTGTCTTTGTGTGAGTGTGTTTATGCATGTGTTTGACAGGCTTGTCACAGTGTGTGTGTGTGTGTGTGTGTGTGTGTGTGTGTGTGTGTTTGTCTTGGGGAGGAAGTAAGGGCATCGTGGTGACATTGTTCCTGGTAGGAGTCTACTGGAATGCAGAGATGGCTCTGATGCTCTCTTTCTCTCAATCTCCTCTTCCTCCTCCTTGTTATGTTGCCATAGCGGCAAGGGGGCCATGAAACATTACGGCTGACAGTAAAGTCATCTCATTTTACTGTTGCTATGACAACAAACTCCTCACTGTTGGTTGGGGCCAGTGTGAGCTGCCGCCCAAGCCTCGTGCCTGAGTGTGTGTATGAGTGGATGAATGTGTGTGTGTGTGTGTGTGTGTGTGTGTGTGTGTGTGTGTGTGTGTGTGTGTGTGTGTGTGTGTGCCACCATGTCTCCCATGGGCTCTCATAAAGCTTAACACACTCGCTCAGCTCTAAACAAACTTTCATGCAACTTCTACAGCAGCCCCTCAGGACCAACTGCTAAAGGACAAAGGCAGATATCGCTCAAGTTCAGACTAATTGATGCCTGCTGTGTGTGTGTGTGTGTGTGTGTGGGACTGCGTTTGAGTGTGTGTGTGAGAAGCATCCTCACATTTGTTTGACAGATGGGACTGTGCTATTCTCTCTGTCTTCTTCATTCTCTGGATCTCGTTTGTGTTTGCATGCTTTGTTTTCATTTGTGTTCGTCTCTGTTTGGCATGTCCACATTTGGCTTAGCGTGTGCATGTGTTTTTTTTTTTCTCACGTTTGTGTGTGTTCGCATCAGACAACCAGCACTCTCTGACTATCCGTATATAAGTACACGCTCCATCGAAGTGTCTGTGCATACCAATATGATTTAAAGCAGCTGTAATCTGTACGGTGAGTCTGTTTCTCACTGTAACACTGGAACCACACCGCTTCTGTTTGCACTCTGCACCCTGATAGCATGGATTTTAAAAGACAGCATTCAATTAGAATAAATGGCTCTCTCCATTCAAAACACGATTCTTTAACAGTGGGTGATTGGTGGTACACTTAAGTCAGACTGTTCCTATTATTATGCTGCCGTGCGGTTCCACAAGACTCTGACAGGAAACAAAGGCTGAAAATAACTGTGGCCGCTGTGCTGAACATTCAAACACCCTCAGACTCCACAGGTGAAAGAGCCTATTCGGTCACATTACTGTAAAAGAAGGCAGATCTTGAATTATCAGTGGATTTATTGATAACAGAAACTGACCAGAAAATAAGCTACAAGTATTTTTTCAATTGATTAATTATTCAAGTCTTAAATGTTGGTGATATTGTAGTTTGGTCATACAAAACAAACAAGCTGAAGAATTAACTTTGGGCTGTGAGAACTCAAGGTCCACTTACTACATTTTATTAAAGGTTTCGACCACATCACATGGTCTATATCAGCAATCGGAATTTGCTCAGTTGTCATGGATATAGATCAGCTGACACTTCACCGCACATAGTGTTAGCTTAATCCTTCCAAGGCTGCATTTAAAAAACCAGCGGCGTGACTAGGCTTTCCCATTTCGAAGGCTCCTTCAAATGCGGCGGACAAATGCGGCCTTCTTTTCCTGGGCAAGGAAAGCTCCAACGGGTGGATCCTTCATGGCCCAACTTATCCCAAGGTTCATTGCGTGCTGGTAATGAAAACAATATGGCAGCAAACAACGCTAACAGAGTCTGAGGACTACACTTTTAAATTTAAGTACTGGGTTTCAGCTCAGCTAACAGTACAACTGCTAAAAATCAAATGGCCTTAAAACCTCAAGTTTTTGTAAAGTAAAAAATAGTCACATGTTGTCAAAGTTGCTAGGCGACAGGAGCAGTGCTTTGCTATGAAACTGTAAGGGCAGGCACAGCTGGTGACACAAAGCAGAGAGCCTCTGTAGGCCAGACCGTCTCATTTCGGTTCAGCCTTCGCAAAGCCTCTGAAGGATGCAACCCCTGAATTGGGACACAGCTACTGTATCAAGTTACTGTTAGATTAGCCACTGGTTGCCTGGCAACCTCACAGTAACTTCAGGGAGTGACTGTACCTGGTCAAGAAACAGTCCGGTACATAACCCATGTAAAACTGCAACTTGTCATCTTTTTATCTCAGTTTTTACACCGATTAAACAATTAGGATATAACATGTCAGCAGGTGCTGGTAGGTGGCTTTGATGCCTTTGTGGACCAGGGTAGTTGTTTCTATGAGGTTCATGAGCTAAGCTAACTGACTGCTGATGGCAGCTTCATATTCAGCACACAGACATGAGTGTGGTACTGATCCTCTCATCCACCTCTTGGCAAGAAAGCAAATGAGCATATTGCTAGGAACTGGAACTATCACATCAAACCCTCTTTTAGCCATAAACCACAAGGTTAAGTTAACAACTGAGGCAATTCCATCTACTGATATGGATATGGTTGAAAGCTCTGAAACAAGCTAGGGAGGAGACCTTCAGTCAAGATAGCTTTGTAAAACTACTATTTTCAAGGTCAAGTATTGAACGTTATTTAAAAAAAACAACTTGATAGAGATTAATGTATGTGTATAATAGAAGTAACTAATTGCTAAATGAATCAATATATATCAATATATAATCAATAAATATCAGCCAAAAGAAGTGTCTTTTCTATCTCCTCATTCAGTGAGGGACACCATAACAACATTTCATGAAACTCTTTAAAAAGTCAAATTTTTAAGGTAGCACACCTACATAAAATATATATAATATATATATA